AGTTAAACAGAAGTAATAACCTGTAATGATCTACAACACTGCACAAAATAGAAGTTGCTAAAAAAGTATATTTTAAATGTTCTCACCACACCAAAATGATATGTTAAGAGAGGAATATGTTAAATAGCTTGATTTAATCATTCCAAGTGTCACAACATCATATTGTACTTTAGGAACATATCAACTTTTACTTATGAATTCAAAATAAAGATGAACACAATTTTAAATATAAAAAAATGAAAGTAGGAAAATATTTAAATAGACATCACCACCAAAGAGGATACAGAGATGACAAACAAGCACATGAAGGATGTTCACCATCGTATGTCATTAGAGAACTGCACATTCAAAGAACAATGAGATATCACTACATGCCTATTATAATGGCTAACGCAGGAAAAATAAGAAAATACCAAATTCTGGAAAGAAATGGAGCCATGGGAACTCTCATTAGGTGATAGTGGGAAAGAAAACGGTATAGCCCCATGCTGAAAGACTACCTGAAATTCTTACAAAAGCTTACTATATATGTTCTAGCAATAATACGTCTAGATACTCCTAAGTATTTAGGTTGAAAACAGTCCACATAAAATCCTCAAAAATCTTTTAATTTGCTAATAATTGTAAGAAGCCAAAATATCCTTCAATTGGAGAATGGATATAGAAACTGTGCATGGCTATAAATGGAATATTATAGAGCAATAAATTATAGAGCAACAAATGAGATGTCAAGTCACAAAAAGACTCCAATTAAGGCAGTGAGACAAACTGATATCTAGAATACATGAACTCAAAAAAAATCATTCCCCCCCAATTTAAAGACCCAATCCATAAACAGGCATCTGAAATGAAAAGACACTTCTCAGATGAAGAAGCAGAAACAGCAAATAAATATACGAAAAAATGTTCAACATCACTGGTCATTCAAGAAATGCAAACTAAAACAACACTGACATTCCAGCTCATTCCAGAAAGAATGGCTATCATCAAGAAATCAAAAAGCAACAAATGCTGGCAAGGCTATGGAGAAAAAGGAACCCTTTTTGGTTGTTGGTGGGAGTGTAAATTTTTACAATCAATATAGAAATCAGTGTGAAGATTCCTCGCAACCAGAGGTTCCATTTGACCCAGCTATTCCCTTCTTGTTATCTTCCTGAAAGAATTAAAAGCATCATACCACAGCAATATATGCACACCCGTGTTTATAGTACAATTCATAATAGCTAAATCGTGAAAACAGCCCAAATGCCCATCAACAGATGAGTGGATAAAGATGAGTTGGTTTTTTTTTACACAATGGAGTAGTACTCTGCCATAAAGAAGAATAAACTTGAGACTTTTTTAAGTAAATGGATGCGCCTTGAGACCACACTTTGAGACCATACTTTTAAGGGAAATAAATCAGACATACACTTTTAAATATCGCATTGTTTCTCTGGTGTAAGAATTTGAAAGGGTAAATAAGGACCAAAATGGATGACAGATATTGGGAAATAGGAAGAAAATGTTCAAATGGTGAAGGGGAACAAGGGTGGGGGGAGGAAAGGAAGGGAAAAGGAAAAAAGAAAGAATAGAAGGGAAAAATGGAAATAAAGCTTTCATAAATAAGGAAAAAAAGGCTGAAGGGAGGGAAGTGACACAGGGAAAAAGAAGAATCAAGATATATTAGGTACAAGTACAAATTCCCTACGATGAACGTGATCATTACGTATATAAAAAGTATACCAACAAAATTTTTTTTTTTTTTTTTTGGTGCTGGGATCGAACTCAGGAACTCTTGCACTTACAAGGCAGGTGGCAGCACCACTGAGCTAAATCCCCAGCCCCAAATAAAATTAATTTCTAAAAAAAGAACAGAAGGCCTAAACATAATAGTATTAAAGAAGCAATATGTCAAAATTAGAGGAGGTATGATCAATGAGAAAAAATTTAAAGAAATTCTTTCTTTACTCTAAATTTTTTTTTAATCTGAGAAACTTTATTTTTCTAATTAATTTTATTGGTACATTTTATTGGTACATTTTAGGTATACAATTCGTTTACATTTATCATTGGGTGTTTGTACCTGTACATGATATATCTTGGTTCTTATTTTTTTCCCCATTATCTGTGCATCCTTCACCCCCTCCGCCCTTACCTATTTACATAGATTTTACTTTAAATTTGATCATATGCAGGGGAAAAAATACTCCAAGAGCTAAGTTCAACCTAGAAAGCCAAATGACTGACAGGAAATCCTAAGAATCTTACTAGTGCCTTTCACTACAGAAGCAGGCAAGGCTAACATAACCATAAAACTTACATGCTTAGTTTAAAAGTGAGTTGCTCAAAACATTGCTGGAAGAAATTAAAATAATCTGAATAAATGCAAAGGCAACCTAATGTATGGACTGGAAGACTTAACACTGCTAAAAGGGTAACACTACCCAAAATAATCTAAAGGGGTTTTTTGGTTTATTTTTGGTACCAGGAATCGAACTTGGGACCTTGTGCTTGCGAGGCAGGTGGCAGAACCTCTGAGCTAAATCCCGGGCCCAATCTAAAGGTTTAATACTGATTTTTTATCAAAATCATCCCACATACACACACATCCCAAAAAGCAACCCCTTTAGAGTTCTCAGAAATGGACAAGCTTATACTGAAATCCATATAAAACCAAGGAACACCCAAATAACTAAAACAATCTTGGAAAAGAAAAAAAGTTAGAAGACTTACATTTCCCAATTTCAAAACTTCTATAAAACTAGAGTAATCAATACAGTGCCAGCATATGGACCAACAGAACATACACCAACAGAAGAGAATTAATAGACTTGAGCATCCAGAAATAAATCCATGTATCTATAACCAAGTAATCTTCAACGAGAGTGCCAAGGTTATTCAATACCAAGAGAATATCTGTTTAACAAACGGTTCTGGGACAACCAGACAGCCACATGCAAAAGAAATAGTAGACCTCCTACCTCACACTGTATCTTTAAAATTGCCTCAAATTGAATCAAAGATCTAAATATGAGTCATAAATCTCTTAGAAAAAAACAGAGGTACACCTCCATGACATTAATTTGACAATAAATTCTTAGATATGATATTTAAAACACAAAGAAAAAAATAGGTAAATTGTACTTCTTTAAAATTAAAAACTTTATAAAGTATCACAGGAAATCTACAGAATTCAATAAAACATTTGCAAATCATTTATCTGATAAAAGTTAAGTAAAGAGAATACATTAGCAACTCTTACAACTTAACAAAAAAGCAGAGAATGCAATTAAAATAGGAACATTCCAGCAAGAAAATATACAAGTGGCCAACAAGCACTCAACATCATTATTCATTAGGAAATACAAATCACAACCACAAATTTATACAACTTCACACCCTTTAGGATAATAATTTTTAAAACTGAAAAATAAAAACAACTTTGGGCAAGGTTACAGAGAAACTGGAACTCCTGTATAGTGCTAGTGGGATGGTAAAATAGTACAAATGCTCTGGAAAGCAGTAGTTCTTTGAAACACTAAACATAGAATGACCATATGACCAGCAACTCAACTCATGTTATATACCCAGAAGAATTGAAAGCAAGTATTCAAACAAATACTTGTACTATTAATCACGCTATTTATAACAACCAATTTGTAGAACAACTCAAATGTCCATCATGTGATGAATGGAGAAAGTATAGTATAGCTACATAATTATGTATTATTCAGCCATAAAAAACAATGAAATGCTGATACATAACATGTATCAGTGAGGAAAAAAAAATATATTGTGCTAAGTTTAAGTAGCCAGATCCAAAAGGATCTTATATGATTCCATGTATATGAATTATACAGAAGAGGTTAATAAATAGAAAAAGCAAACTAGAAGTCACAAGAGGGGAAGAAAAGCAGAAAAACAGGGCGTGACTTCTTAGGTACGATGCTTCTTTCTAGGATGGTAAAAATGCTTTATTCCTACTGAACTGTACACTTTTAAATGGATAATTTTACATTACATAAATTTTACCTTAGTTTTAACATATAAGCTGCTTATACATTTTAGTAGCTTGGCTACCTTGGTAGAATAACATGGCAGTGGTAAATGCAAATGTCAGAATCAGACAGCCTGGGTTCCAATCTCAATTTTGTACACATAGCTAAATGACTTATATTCTCTGTGCCTCAGTTTAGCATCCCTAAAACCAAGTTAATAAGACTACTCAGAGGATTGTAATAAGTAAATGTTAACACATTTGAAACACTTGGAATGATGCCTCACAGACACTAAATAATAAATATAAGCCAAAAATAACTATTGTGTTTATGGCAATCAAAAACAGGGAAATAGTTATATATACAGAGTGAGAATTCTAAGGCCAAAGGTTATATGAATTCAGAGATTTAAAAAACCCTATCCCAGAAGCAGATCATAAAGGCCTTAAAGTACGGATATATCATTTAGCTCTAGGTTTTTTAAAGAGCACTGAGCACAAAGCCAAATAACAGGTGACTTTCATGAGGTTGGTTAACATCTCTCACGGCATCTATGTAGTAAACAGAACATGCTATTCCAAAAAATTAAGTGATAAGAGATATAGCAACTAGAAAAAAACAAGTAAGTACTTAATAACATTAAACATAAAGCAGAACATGGCATGTAACTGAAATTCTAGAATCCCTTGAGAGAATTTGACAATTCTCATTGAATACTTCAAAAGTACTTGAAATAAGATAAGATGCAAACCACGAATGTGATGCTATCAAATATAAATAGTTGCATAAGCAGCACTGGGGACTATACAACCAAGGAACTAAATGAACCCAATTTTCTTCTGCATGCAACCGAATCTAGCTGTAAAGAGTGGCAGAGATGAGGAATAACCATCACTCCTTCCCCTCCAGTGTGTGTGCGCGCACACGCACGCACACACACACACATACACTCCTACTTTTAAAGATTATAAGTAAATCAGCTACTGAAATAGAGGCAAATGAGAAACCTCAACTTCTTACCTTCTTCTGCTTCATCCTCTTGAGGTGACAGTGGACCCCCTCCACTAGTAGGAGTAACTGGTTCCTCCTTGTCAGACTCTCGCTGTAGACTCACCACCTCATATATTGCATCTCCAGCATTGGCGTGGCCTTTTCCCTCAGACTGTGAAAGATGTAACCATATATTTTAATATTGTGCCAATTAGAAGGAAATACTAAAAGTGCTTCATTGGTTCATTAAAGAGAGCTAAAATTAAAAGTAGCATGTCATATTTATCGACACCATGTCTGAAGTTGAAAAACTTTTTTAAGTGCACTGTTTCTTCACATTATAATATAAATGTATGGTTCTTTTAGCATTGTTTTAACCAATATAAAGAAACATATTAACCATTTCAAAAGAACTCAATTTCTTTTCATCAGAAAAAACCTGAGATACCACAAGTTTTGGGAAGATAAGCAAGTGACGTTTGACGATTAGAGCTAACTCACACTCGGGTGGAAGTATCAGCTACATGCACCAATTAATTCATGGAAGTAAATAGGGTTTACCTTATAAACAGTATGCACTCTAAATGGTCAGTTTCTTGAGGAGGGAAAATAAAGGCAACTATCAATTAACCCAACTTAGCGTGCCCAACAAAACCCTAGACCAGTGATAGCAAACCTATAGCATGTGTGCCACAGCCGGGTTTTTTGATCATTGAAAGCTCTAAAAGGTTCACCATCATTGGTGAACAAATTGGCCCTGCCTCTCTCTCCAGCCTCACCTCATACCCAGAGTTTTTCACTACATTCCAGACACTTGGGCCTTGTTTCAGCTCCTTGAGACCTTCAAACTCTTTCCCAACTCAAGGCATTGAGCCATCCTTTCCTCCCTGCCAATACAGTTACTCTCCAAGTCTTTACTAACTCTCAGTACCTTGGATACTTACTTCAAATGAAACTTCTATAAAGAAGTTTCCAAATGCCTCCTTCCCAATCTAAACTAAGTTCCCTGTATTTTTTATCAAGCCCTGTTCTTTGTCATTAGTACACTTGCCATGTTATTATGTATTTCTTTTTATATTTAACTGTTTAACATCTGTCTCATTCAAAAGACAGTAAGAATCATAAGGACAAGGACTGTGTTAATTTCGATAACAGTTACGTGATACATGATATACAGTAAATGTATGTGGAATGAATGACTGGAATAATGATAAAACATATAGATTTCAGAGTCAAAAAGATCTGAATTTGAATGCAAATTTCACTACTAAGAAGATGTGCCACACTGGATAAATTACTATGTGGAGTCACAGTATTTGAACCAATAAAAATTAAAATAATATCTCCTCCAGATTAAGATTAGATGTCATAATATAGTGCCTGAAACAAATTTATTATTATGTTTTCAGCACTACATCAGGATCTAAGGGACACAAAATAAAAATGTAAGCATACAGAGAGACAAAATCTCTAAACATATCAATTAAAAGATTATTAGATTATTTTTTAAAACAAGATAAAAAACATTTAAAATATAATAATAGGGCCGGGGATTTAGGATTTAGCTCAGTGGTTTCATTCACTGCTGCGCAAGTGCAAGGACCCGAGTTCGATCCCTGGTACCAAAAAAAAAATATATATATATATATAAACACCAGGTTAAAAGTAAAATAAGGAAACAAGATATACCATGAAAACACTAATTTAAGGAAACTCAAAGAAGAGACTGTATTAATATAAGACAATGAAGATGTACCAACCAACTAAAAAAAGTATTAGGGATGAAGGACCTTACACAATGTTAAAAGGACCAATTCAATGAGAACACCTAAGAATCCCATGTTTATGCACCTAACAAGGTCTCAAATATATGAAGCAAAAACTGACATAAATGAAAGGAGGTTGACAAATCTACATTTACCGTTCTACACATCAATATTTTTCTTGCAGTAATCAACAGAAAACATGCACAAAAATTCATCAAGGCTACTGAAGAAATGAACACCATTACCAACAGGACCTAACACTTACACACCATTCCATACCACTCCACCCAACAACAGCAACAAACACACACTTTTACAATGCATACAGAACATTCACCAAAACAAATCATTTCTTGAGCTATAAAACAAGGAAAGCTTCAAAAATTGAAATCATATTGTATTCAGTGACCACAATACAATTAAACTGGAAATCAGCAACAGAAATATATTTGAAAAATTCCCTAATACTTGTAAATAAAATAGCATACTTCTAAATAATTCATAGATAGAAAAGCCAAATTAGAAGCCCTTTGAATGGAACAAAATTGAAAATACAACCAATCAAAATTAGAGAAATACATCAGTGTACACAGATTGCTGTAAGTACTTATATTACAAAAGAAGCAACCAAAAAATAATCTCACCTTTCACCTTAAGAAACTAGGAACAGAAAAACAATACAATCCAAAAGCAAGCAGAAGGAAGGAACTTAAGGTAATAACAGACATAAAACTGGAGAAAGAGAAACTTTTAAACAAGGGAAATCAAAGGTAGCGGTTTGAAAAAAAATAAAAACCTGTAAATTAGTAAACCTCCCGCTAAACCGACAAAGAAAGAAAACATAAATTATCCATACTAGGAACAAAACTGTGTGTATCATTACAGATGCAACAAACATCAAAAGGAGTAATAAGGAAATATTCTGATAACACTAGACATCTTAATTGGCCTACTCAGATTAACTAATTCTTTAAAAACCATTAACTACTGACACTCACCTAAGAAGAAATAGACAACCTGAAAAATCCCATCTCTAGTAAACAAAACTAAATTTACAACTCAAATCTTTCTGAAAATGAGAAATTCAGACCCGATGGTTCCAACAACAAAATTTTTTAAAACACATAAAGAAGGTGCTATGGTTTGTATCTAGACATCCCCCAAAGCCTCATCAAGTCATAGATGGGGCTTTTAGGAGGTGGTTGGATCTAGGGTGTGTGGTGCTGGGATCAAGGGTGTGAGTGCTAATCACCCTAAGGGTGCTTAGCTTGGACAAGGGACAGAAAGGGGCTTGTTGCTTGTTGCTGCTTGCTTGTTGCCTTCTGCCTGCCCTGTTTTTCCATTTACTGTTTCTCCTCTCTAATGCCCCCTGCCATGCCACCTTGCCTTGGAACCAGCCCGCTATGGACTGAAACTTCTACAAACTGTGAGCCAAATAAACCTTTCCTCCTTTAACTTTGGGTGTCGAGTATTTTGTCCCAGCATAGAAAAAAGCAACTAAGACAGAATTAATAAGAAATAACATTAATGCTTTAAAATTTTTTTCAGAAAATAAGTATTTATCAACTCATTGCCCAGACATCAATTTTCCTGATATAAAAACTAAAGAAGGGATTACAAGAAAAGAAAAATCACAGACTAATATCCTTTATAAGCATAGACAAAATTCTTTAAATATTAGCAAATTTAAATATTTATACACTCAGCTAATATGTACTTAAAAATCCAATCCATACATATAAAAATTTCAAAGCAAACATAATCATATATATTATAAGTCAAATACATATATAATACAAACTCTAAATTGTGTATATATGTATAAGCAGATTTACTTAGGAAATGCAAAGCTGGTTCAATACTGGGGAAAATCAGCATAATTCATCATATGAACAGACTAAAAAAAGAAAATCTACATGATCATATCAACTGATTCAGAAAAAGCATTTAAGGAAATTCAGCATTTATTCATATTAAAAACTTATTAAACTAGGAATATAAAGAAACTTCTTATCCTGATAAATATTGTCTGTGTAAAATATACATTATATTTATGGTGAGAGACTGAGTGCTTTCCTCCTGAGGAGAATAAAAAAAGGATGTTCGTTGTCATCATTCCTAGTCAATATTCAATGGAAGTCCTGGCCATTATATAGAGGGAAGGAGGGAGGGATGGATGGAAGGGAAAAGGTAGCCAGATGTGAAATAAAATTTATTTACAAACATGGTAATTGTCTTTCTCTGGAACTTTTCCATCAAGAGTGAGTTAGAAAGTATTTTAGGCTTTACAGGCCATGTCACAACAACTGAACTCTGTAATTTTAGTGTGAAAGTAATACAACAGCAGTAGATATGTCATCAGCACTCAGTTTCCTGTACAGACAGGATCTCTACTACTTTTTCATGTAGAACCTAAGCACTATACCTAGCAATTAAGTTTAAAATACTTTTCACTAAAATTTCTTATTTCTAATAATCACATATTATTCAACTAAAAAACTGATCTGTATTTATAAAACAAATTGTCTGGTTGATAGCAGAATTCATTACATTTTAAGAACATAAACTACTCGGTGTGTTAACTTTTTTTTTTTTGGTACCAGGAATCAAACTCAGGACCTTGCACTTGCAAGGCAGGAACAGTGTCATTGAGCTAAATCCCTGGTCCCAGAAATACCTGGTATGTACTCAGTAAATAAATATAAGTTAAGTTATAAATATTCATCACACTTATACAAATAAACTCTAAAATCTTTTTCAGTTCATCAAATACAAAACAATGGATCCAGATATATTCAATCACATGGAAAAATATGTCTACATATGTAAAGTATACAGAGAAATATATAAGTATATATCTATCCATGCAGCTTCTATTGGCCTCTACATTGGTGAAGGTAAAAGAAAACCAAATCAAAATTAACCAAAAAAAAAAATCACCTTCCACAGCTTTTATTTTCCCACAATGACCTTATTAACTTTGTTAACTTTCATCTTTCTGCACGTAAAAGAGTTACTATTATTATTCAGGTACTATTGCTTATTTACTAATTAATTATACTTTTATTTAAACAGGTTTCATTCAACAAATATCTTCAAAAAAAATTTCCCTTTTATGCTTTTTAACTCTAACAGTTGATAAAAGGCTTTATCTCCAACTGTTTGAGGCACTCAAAAGCAAAAGATTTCATGGAGAGAGCAGGAAACATTTGCTGTTTTAACATTAAACCTACAACTAGCTCACAGTCCAAATCAAGGCTTTAGGAGACCTGTAGCAGGAAAAAGGCATATGAACAAGCAGCCACTTCCACCTCCAACCAGACTCATGTCCTCCTAGAGAAGACTGAAAAGGTGGGTCCCTTTCCTAAATTGAAGGTAAATCAGAAAAGCTTCTGAGAACAGGTAA